GTTGCTGCAATGAGTATCTTGTGCCAAAGATTTCCCGAGCTCCTCAGTCACATCCTCTCTATCAGATGTCAACACTGACGAAAGCAGTCAGTATTCCCTGTCCCACATTATGTAATTCTCTGGATTAGCAAATCTTCTGCGTTCATGGTGAGAAGAGAAAAAGGTTTTATGATTTAACTACTTAGATGGTAAAGGGGACACCTCATGGGGACACTTAATGTAAGGGGGCACACTCATGGGGACAGCAGATGTAAGGGGGTACTCTCATGGGGACAACTGATGTAAGGGGGCACTAATGGGGACAACGCATGTAAGGAGGCACTCTCATGGGGACATCGGATGTAAGGTGAATGTGCTGGGAAAACTTTTTGCTGTTTTACTGTATAAGGCCATTCCATGTGCACCTTGCTGTAAAGCTGGTAACAAATTGATGAGTGCGTTTGCCATTTGTTTTGCTTGACTGATTTGGTGCAGTGATGCATGGGGGGTCTCAGCTGCCGTTGTGATGTGCGGGATCCCTTGTGCATCCCTGAGCCTTTAAGGGAGGTTGGTCTTCCTCCTGACAAACCTGCACCCAATTTGATCTTTTGCCATAGGTGCTCCAAGATGGAGACTCTCATAGTTTAGAGTTAGGACCGCACTATTTAGCGGTGCCTTGACGTGGCTGTGCGGCGTTCACATTTTCTGCAGAAGACGTGTAACTAAACCTCTGTTTTTAACCTTAGCGGTAAGACAAGTTTTTTTTTGCATGCTGGCTGATGAGTGTGCTCTGAAAACTTTTTGCAGCTTTATCGGATGTAAGGGGGCACTCTCATGGGGACATCGGATGTAGGGGGGCACTCTCATTGGGACAACAGAATTAAGGGGGCACTCTCATGGGGACAAATGATGTAAGAGGGCCCTCTCATGGGGACAACAGATGTAAGGGGGCACTCTCATGGGGACAACAGATGTAAGGGGGCACTCTCATGGGGACAACAGATGTAAGGGGGCACTCTCATGGGGACAACTGATGTAAGGGGTGGGGGGAATTGGAACAGAAAAATATAGCAGTATGGGTGTAGTTGTGGAGTGATGTGCTCAATCTCATTAAACATGAGTGTGGATCATTTAATTGTTAAAACATGTTGTTTCAAAACTTTAAAAAACAATGAAAAGTGGAAATACAAGAGAAAGTTTCCTTAGCAGCAGTAAGTATGGTTTCTCTGGTGTGGAGTCCAGAGGGGACAATATACACTTCAAAAATTATATTTTTTAAGATCCATCCAGTCTCCCTACCTTATGAGAACTGGAGTAGATGCTCAGCTTGGGGTCCAGTGCGGGCTGCTGTGATGTGATGGAGCTCCATCCATATGTGCATTGTTTCTACAGCTCCCTTGCACACCCTGTGACGTCAGTCCAGACCAGTCACCTCTACAGGACACATGTGGGAGCCGTAAGCAATGCACATCTGGATTAGAGCTGCAACAGTTAATCGATTAAGTCGATTAAAATCGACGATTGAAAACGTTGGCAACGTTTTCGATCGTCGATTCGTCGGCTATCGATTGCTTAGCCTGTTCGGGGCTCCGCACGCGGCCTGAGTCGCACGTCACGCGTCACACGCTGCTCCCGACGTGCCCACCGCACAGGC